TATTTTTGAGATATATTGCTAATTATATAAAAATTAAAAAATAAATATTTTAAACCTAATTATACTATTTAAATTATTTCAAATGTATTCTATAAAGAATAAATGGGATCTAGAAATAAAAATTTTAATTATAATAGAAATAAAAATAATATTTCATTACTTTTTAGAGTAAGATATGATTCTAATTTTATTTTTTCTTTATTCAATCATTTTCATCTAACCTTTCTTCTATCAATGCGAAATGGAAAACTATATATATATATAGAATACATAGACAAATCTTTTATTTTCAATGATCTAATAAAATAAGCTTAGTAATTTAGATCTTGTTATTTATTATTATAACAAACATTTAAATTAATTTATTTACCATATATAATTAAGATCATTAGAATATCAATAATAAAATTTGATAATATACTCACTTTTTTTTCATTTATACATTTAATATTATAACTATCTTTTCTCTCTTATTTATTATATTCTACATCATTTTTCATTTATCCCTTAAATCAAAGATTACTATTCTACATCTTAAACTGAATCTTCAATTTTAATAAAATTATCAAGCAAAAATCTCTTTATGAGTTTAAAATGATCAAAATACAGTCTCTGCTTATTTTAACATTATTATAATGACAAATTTTCCACTTAATTCTGTATATTTATTATTTTATAGTTAATATTAGATTTAATTAGTATAATTAATTCTCTTGACCATGCTGTGTCATTTTAAAAGAAAAAGGATCATCCTTTAGCAATATGATTATTATGTTTATAAAAATATTCACTCTGAACCAACTAGTTCTCTATCACTCAAAATAGCCTTCTTTCTTTTAAATCAAAGCAAAGGATTAATATCCACAAGTTCCATAAGAATTAAATTTAAAAATCTTTGAATTATTTAAGTGCGGCAATAAAATATTTTTTTTGTAGTTCTTTTAATATTTTTTCAGAAGCAAGAATCTGATGGCTTATGTTCATCATGAATATAAATAATCAAAGCTTTATATTATAATTTTAAATAGGAGCTGACCAATTATTTTATGTTCATAAATTTGATTATTTATTGAATGAATTTAAAGATGCTTTCCGAATCTCTTTAATACAATCAAACAAAGTTTTAATTTATTTGTTTTTATATTCAAGAATGTGATGAGCAAGAAATGCTTACTGAAAAAATAATTTTAAAAAGTCACAGTTTAATTTAATTTTAAGAAAATAAGAATAAATATTAATTATTCATGGATGTACAGTAAAGTATACAGAAAAAAATAAGTTAAATAATGGAAGTGTAATTTTTTCTTATATTTTTTATTGTTAAACATCATCCTTTGTATTTCTTTTTTTTAAAAAAATCTCATTAATTCTTAAAATTATATAATTATGTATTTTATACAATTAATCTTTGCTAAAATTAAAGTTTTCAAATATTGAATTTAATATTTTATTGTAGTCCTAAATATGTCAAAATGTGACTTATTTAGAGTTGACCTTATCTATTATAAAAAAGACAAAAAAGAATTATTAATAGGATTAATTATATTATACTCTATTGATTTATAATCGATTTGTAATCCAAAAATTTCAAGGAAATATAAGTATTTTTGATTAATAAATTATTACTAAAATTTTAGATATGTCCTTATTTCTGCTTTTATTTGTTCATTACTTAAGTAGTCTGGAAGTTAAAGAAATGGATTCATTATATTAATATTGTTAATAATCAATTATATTGTAAGGAAATACCCAAATCTCAAGTGCTTTTAGATATGGATTATGGTCAAAATATAATCCTTTAACAA